ACACTTTCCCCCCCTTCCAGTCCGGACACTTTCCCCCCGGAACAACTTTTCCCCCCTTCCAGTCCGAACACTTTCCCCACCTTCCAGTCTGGACACTTTCCCCCCTTCCAGCCCGGACACTTCCCCCCCCTTTCCTGTCCGGACACTTCCACCCCCTTCCAGTCTGGATACTTTCCCCCCTTCCAGTCTGGACACTTTCCCCCCTTCCAGTCCGGACACTTCCCCCCTTCTGTCCGGACACTTCCACCCCCCCTTCCAGTCCGGACACTTTCCCCCCCTTCCAGTCCGGACACTTTCCCCCCCTTCCAGTCCGGACACTTTCACACCCCCTTCCAGTCCGGACACTTTCACCCCCTTCCAGTCCAGACACTTCCTGACCTTCCAGTCCGGACACTTCCACCCCCTTCCAGTCCGGACACTTCCCCCCCTTCCAGTCCGGACACTTCCCCCCCTTCCAGTCCGGACACTTCCCCCCCTTCCAGTCCGGACACTTCCCCCACTTCCAGTCCGGACACTTTCCCCCCTTCCAGTCTGGACACTTTCCCCCCTTCCAGTCCAGACACTTCCTGACCTTCCAGTCCGGACACTTCCACCCCCTTCCAGTCCGGACACTTCCCCCCCCTTCCAGTCCGGACACTTCCCCCACTTCCAGTCCGGACACTTTCCCCCCTTCCAGTCTGGACACTTTCCCCCCTTCCAGTCCGGACACTTTCCCCCCTTCCAGTCCGGACACTTTCCCCCTTTCCAGTCCGGACACTTTCCCCCTTTCCAGTCCGGACACTTTCCACCCCCTTCCTGTCCGGACACTTCCCCCCCCCCCTTCCTGTCCGGACACTTCCACCCCCTTCCAGTCCGGACACTTTCACCCCCTTCCAGTCCGGACACTTTCACCCCCTTCCAGTCCGGACACTTTCCCCACCTTCCAGTCCGGACACTTTCCCCACCTTCCAGTCCGGACACTTTCACCCCCTTCCAGTCCGGACACTTCCCCCCCCTTTCCTGTCCGGACACTTTCACCCCCTTCCAGTCCGGACACTTTTACCCCCCTTCCAGTCCGGACACTTTCACCCCCTTTCCAGTCCGGAAACTTTCACCCCCTTCCAGTCCGGACACTTTCCCCCTTCCTGTCCAGGCCAATTTTCAGCTTTCAGCGCTATCACATTTTGAATGACAATTGCGCGGTCATGCAACACTGTACCCATATGAAATTTTTAGCATTTTTTTTGAGACAGATAAAGCTTTATTTTGGTGGTGTTTATTCATCACTGGGATTTTTATTTTGTTTGCTATTTAAATGAAAAAGTCCAAAAATTTTGAAAAAAAGTGTTTTTCTTATAAAATTTTGCAAATAAATAATATCACATCATAAAGCTTGGCCAAAATGTATTCCGTTATCTTTTTAGTAAAACAATAATTACACAAATTAGTTTATAACCAAAAATTATAATTTTTAAAAACATTTTTTACATTTGTATTTTATTTTTTTATATTATTATTTTTTTTTTTTTTACATACTGTCACCCTAGCAGTACAGTATCACCATGGTGACCCTGTACTACTTGTGGGGGGTGATGATGATTTTTTTTTTTTACACTGATTGCTCTTACACCCATAAAGGCTGTAAAAGCAATAATTTCTCCTTCTCTCTGGCTGCATTCCTGCAGCCATTGGGAAATACTGTGAGAGCTGTGATTGGTCACAGCTTGTCACATGGTACAGGGCTGTTGTGAATAGCCCTGTACCATGTGACCTCTGTGATCATTCACAGATTTCACACATAGTAAGCAATGATGTCAGAAGTGACATCTTGCTTACTACTCTGCATGTGATCACTGATTGGCCAGTGATGACATGATCGGGACCTCGCACAGAAGTCCCGTACAACGATCTGATCCGGAGGACACAGCGGGCACCAGATCGCGGTGCTGCGCGCTCCCAGGGAGCGTGCACAGTCCAAAATGGCGGGTGCCATTTATGAACAGCAACCGGCCCCTGCACTGCTACCATCCGGCCGTTTATATACATGGGCCGGACGGCAAGTGGTTAAAGGGTGCCCAAATGTAGGGAGTAAGGCGCATATGTGGTGGAACTGGTCTAAGGTCCATCACTTGTGTATAGGAATGTATACCATGATCAATGATTTTATGGATCAGTCTTGGACAGGACCCAAGGGTGGCCCTTCTCCACAAACCCATGGAGAACATCCCTCGTTATAGCAGAACACCTAATTCCATATATTCACTACTACTGAGTAGACTATTGCCCAGGCATGGAAATCGCCATCTTGAAGTTATGAGCCACATACAAGGCAGGCTTGTTAACGAGAGACTAACTACTGTATTAAATGTTCCTTTCGTTCTGGCGACCATGGCTTAATTATGTGTAAAACATGTTTAACCCCTTGCCTACTGGGCACTGTCACCCCCTTCCTGCCCGCCAGGCACTGTCACCCCCTTCCTGCCCACTGGGCACTTCTACCCCCTTCCTGCCCACCAGGCATTGTCACCCCCTTCCTGCCCACCGAGCACTTCTACCTCCTTCCTGCCCGCCGGGCACTGTCACCCCCTTCCTGCCCGCCGGACACTGTCACCCCTTTCCTGCCCGCCGGGCACTGTCACCTCCTTCCTGCCCGCCGGGCACTGTCACCTCCTTCCTGCCCGCCGGGCACTGTCACCCCCTTCCTGCCCACCAGGCACTGTCACCCCCTTCCTGCCCACTGGGCACTTCTACCCCCTTCCTGCCTGCCGGGCACTGTCACCCCCTTCCTGCCCGCCGGGCACTTCTACCCCCTTCCTGCCCACCGGGCACTTCTACCCCCTTCCTGCCCACCGGGCACTGTCACCCCCTTCCTGCCTTGCGGGCACTGTCAACCCTTTCCTGCCCACCGGGCACTTCTACCCCTTTCCTGCCTACCGGGCACTTCTACCCCCCTTCCTGCCTACCGGGCACTGTCACCCCCTTCCTGCCTTCAGGGCACTGTCACCCCCCCTTTCTGCCCGCCGGGCACTTCTACCCCCTTCCTGCCCGCCGGGCACTTCTACCCCCTTCCTGCCCACCGGGCACTGTCACCCCCTTCCTGCCCACCGGGCACTGTCACCCCCCTTCCTGCCTACTGGGCACTGTCACCCCCTTCCTGCCTGCCGGGCACTGTCACCCCCTTCCTGCCTGCCGGGCACTTCTACCCCCTTCCTGCCCACCAGGCATTGTCACCCCCCCTTCCTGCCCACCGAGCACTTCTACCTCCTTCCTGCCCGCCGGGCACTGTCACCCCCCTTCCTGCCTGCCGGACACTGTCACCCCCTTCCTGCCCGCCGGGCACTGTCACCTCCTTCCTGCCCGCTGGGCACTGTCACCCCCTTCCTGCCCACCGGACACTGTCACCCGCCTTCCTGCTCCTCGGGTACTGTCACCCCCTTCCTGCCCACCGAGCACAGTCACCCCCTTCCTGCCCTCCTGCACTTACCCCCTTCCTGCTTACCGGGCACTGTCACCCCCTTCCTGCCCCTCGGGCACTTCCACCCCCCTTCCTGCCCAGGCCAATTTTCAGCTCTCAGCGCTGTCACACTTTGAATGACAATTGTGCGGTCATGCAACACTGTACCCATATGACATTTTTATCATTTGTTTCTCACAAATAGAGCTTTCTTTTGGTGGTATTTACTCCCCGCTGGGGGTTTATTTTTTGAGCTAAAAACAAAAAAAGAGCAAAAACTTTGAAAAAAAAAAAAACATTTCTTTGTTTCTATTATAAAATTTTGCAAACAGGTAATTTTTCTCCTTCACTGATGTGCGTTGATGAGGCTGCACTGATAGGCAACACTGATGGGCACTGAGGCGGTACTGATGAGCTGGCACTGATGATGGGTACTGATAGTCAGCACTGACTGGCGGCACTGCTGCGCTAAACTGATGGGCATTGGTGGGTGACACTGGTGGGTGGCACTGCTGGGCACAGGTGGGTGCACTGCTGGGCACAGGTGGGCGGAACTGGTGGGTGGCACTGCTGGGCACCGATCATCAGGGTACTGATGATCGGTGCCGATCCCACCTCTAACAACTGCCGGTTCTCGGCAGTACTTTCCTCGCGCTCCGACAGCGTGAGGAAAGTGCAGCCGAGAACCGGCAATTGCATTTCCCGGTGATCCGTGTGTCATTGGACACGGCTGATCACGTGGTAAAAAGCCGCTGTGATTTGCCTTTTACCACATCACGTGATCAGCTGTGTCCTTAGGTGGGTAAGCAGGAGAGCGCGTTCTGGGAGGACGTCATATGACAGCCTCCCAGAACTGGCCGGGTCGCAGTGCAGCTGTCATTCGGCTACCTGCGGTCAGCAACTGGTTAACCACTTTCCCACCGCCCTACAGCAAAAATACTGAAACGGGGCGGCAGGGTGCGCAAAATCACGTATATATACGTGATTTTGTATTTCCGGGTAGGGGGCGCACGGCTATCAATCACTGGGTCCTGGCCAGTGATTAGTCGCCGGCACTTGGCAATCGCTGAGTATTACCAACGGGGGGGGGAGAGAACTGTATGTAAACAATACAGATCTCTCCTGTCAGCTCGAATGACGGCGCGGGTAGGGCTCGCGCGCACCCCCTACCTGCAACTGCAAAATCATGTCTATATACACTATATATTTCTGCTATAGCGTGGCGCGGAACCGGTTTAACTGAATGTTTTACAAGGTCAGGGTTCACATGCACTTCGATGGATAATGAATATTAACAAACAAGAGGCATAAAAAGATGAACAGCGTATTTTATTCGATACTGAAAACGATCGACCACACCCGTTTATAATACAGGAGATGAAAAACCGATGAGTCCTAAAAATGTCCCTCTGTTTGGGCAATTGTTCTACAAATGAAACAACTAAAGAAATCCCATTGGCACCAGTAGACATGGAATTTGTGATGGGCAGTCAGATTTTATTCCAAAACATTTCCAAAGCACAGTATGATTTCTGAAACATTTCCCGCACCATGAGCATGAAAAAGTTCACCTGCCCTCATGAACTCTCTGGTGTCTAACAAGGATTCCTTTTTGGTTAAAACTTTTCCCGCACTCCGCGCAAGAAAACGGACGCTCGCCGGTGTGAATTTTCTGATGTCTGTGAAGGAGTCCTACATCGGCGAAACATTTCCCGCACTCCGAACAGGAAAAGGGACGCTCGCCCGTGTGACTTCTCTGGTGTATGAGGAGGTGTCCTTTCTGAACGTACGATTTCCCGCATTCTGCACAGGAGTAGGGGTGCTCCCCGCTGTGAATTTTCTGGTGTCTAAGAAGGTCGCCCTTATGAATGAAACCTTTCCCGCACTCTGTACACTGAAAAGGACGCTCGCCCGTATGACTTCGTTGATGAGAAACCAGGTCTGCTTTCCGAATGAAACATTTGGTGCAGTCTGGACATGAAAACGGACGCTCGCCTGTGTGAATTCTCTGGTGCACGATAAGTTTTCCCTTCTCGCCAAAACTTTTCCCGCACTCCGAGCATGAAAACGTACGCACACCGGCGTGACTTCGCTGGTGTCTAAGTAGTTCCCCCTTCCCAATGAAACATTTCCCACACTGTAAACATGGTAAAGGATCTTTGTCCATGTGCGTTTTCTGGTGTTTGAGGAGGTTTACTTTCTGAACGTAAGATTTCTCGCACTCTGGACAGGAAAAAGGACGCTCCCCGGTGTGGATTTTCTGGTGTCTAAGGAGGTCTCCTTTCTGAGTGAAACTTTTCCCGCACTCCGAGCACTGAAAAGGACGTTTCTCCCGTGTGACTTCTCTCGTGTCTTAGGAGATCTTGCCCTCGAACAAAACTTTTCGCACACTGTGAACAGGGCCAGGGGCGCGCATGTGGACGGGTCCTTCGATCTACAGAAGAGAGTTCAGATATAGAAGTGTGATCGATTTCAGTGTTTTATCATCTGTGTGATTGATTTATTGAAGTAGATAAAGTATAAATAAAGGAATAAAAAAACATCTCTTGATGCAACACTCCCCCCCCTTTCCAGAGCTGATCCCTGCAGACTCTGTTCTCTCTCTGCCTGAAGGTCTTCCTTCAGGTCGATTAACCCCTTCCAGTCCGGACACTTCCACCCCCTTCCAGTCCCGACACTTTTTCCCCCTTCCAGTCCCGACACTTTCACCCCTTCCAGTCCCGACACTTTTTTCCCCCCCTTCCAGTCCCGACACTTTCACCCCCTTCCAGTCCGGACACTTTCCCCCCCTTGGTGTCAGTGGGAGGAATAGTGCTCCAGTCATTGGTGTCAGTGGGAGGAATAGTGACCCATTGTTGGTGTCAGTGGGAGGATCAGTGCCCTGTCATTGGTGTCAGTGAAAGGAATAATACCCCATAATTGGTGTCAGTGGGAGGAATAGTGCACGATCATTGGTGTCAGTGGGAGGAATAGTGCCCCATAACTGGCGTTAGTGGAAGGAATAGAGCCCCATCATTGGTGTCAATGTCAGGAATAGTACCCCATAATTGGTGTCAGTGGGAGGAATAGTACCGCATAATTGGTGTCAGTGGGAGGAATAATGACCCAGTCATTGGTGTCAGTGGAGGAATAGTGCCCCAGTCATTGGTGTCATTGAGAGGAACAGTACCCCCATTGTTGGTGTCAGTGGGAGGAATAGTGCCCTGTCATTGGTGTCAGTGGAAGGAATAGTGCCCCATCATTGGTGTCAGTGGGAGGAATAGTGCCCCATCATTGGTGTCAATGGCAGGAATAGTGCCCCATCATTGGTGTCAGTGGGAGGAATAGTAGCCCCATCATAATGTCAGTGGGAGGAATAGTGCCCCATCATTGGTATCAGTGGGAGGAATAGTGCCCCATCATTGGTGTCAGTAGGAGGAATAGTGTCAGTGGTGTCAGTGGGGAATAGTGCCCCATCATTGGTGTCAGTAGGAGGAATAGTGCCCCATCATTGTACGTTCAGAAAATCATGTACGTTCAGAAAAAATGTGTATTTTTTATTTTTTGGTGAACGTATCCTTTAAGGTAGGAATGCTTTTAATACAAGTGGGTGTGGTGAAATCAACATTAAGCCTTGCACCTTAGGGTGTTTGGCTCACAGTGCTGCTCTCCAAGTAATTGTGTCTCTGTCACACCAATCCTAGGAGGGAAGGAGGACGGATGAGCAGCCAAAGCCCTGGCTACTACCACTGTTGTTTTTATATGCTAGATTTCAAGACGAGGACATATAGTACACAGTATATTGGATAATCCACTTTAACATACCTGAAACGTTTCTGTGTTGAGTGTTCGCTACCTACCTCTGCTGACATCTAGAGAAGGTTCCTCTTCTTTAATTATCACTATCATTCCGACCTCCTCTGTAGACTGCTGATAATCTATCCCAGAGGTCTCCTCTTCTTCCTCCTTCACTTCAACTTTTACATACATCTGTTCTTCATGCTAAACCAATGATATGATAGAAGATAGTATCAAAAACATGAGCACCAGTAGGCTGAGACTATATAAAAAGGTATAATCTTATAGTTTGGAGACATTTTTGCATTCTACTCATCTACCTGATGATGGTGAGGGATGGTGTGATCTTCCTGTGTGGAATCCCAAGAATACAGAGGACGGGGACATCTCTCTGGTGGGTTTTCATTACTGGATCCATCTGTAAAGAGACAATAACATGTGCACCACCGTACAGTTTGGGCCCCACCATTAGACAAGAATACAGAGGATGGGGACATCTTTCTGGTGGGTTCCCATTACTGGATCCATCTGTAGGAAACACACTCACTGACTGAATACATTGTTTCTATGTGTTTACCGGATGATGGGGGACTTAGGTGGACCATTTGTTCTGTTCTCTGTTCAAATGAGAACATGTCACCTGTGGGGATGAGCTGATGTAGAAAATAAAAATGTAGTTGTTAGGTGGGGGCAAAATAGACTTCTCTGAAGAGGAGGGTTTTCAAGGATTGTCTAAAAGCAAATGGAGTAGGAGATAGGACAGACTGGGATAGGGAGTTCCATAGGATGGGAGAGGCTCGGTAGAAGTCCAGGAGGTGAGCATGGGAGGAGGTGACAAGGGAGCAAGAGAGCAGAAGGTCCTGGGAAGAATGAAGAGAACAATTTGGTTGATATTTTGAGACTAGGTTATTGATGTAGCTGAGAGCCGAGGTGTGGATGGTTTTGTAAGTTGTCGTTAGTATTTTTAATTTAATTCATTGGGTGAGTGGCAGCCAGTAGGGGGATTGGCAGAGAGGGGTGGAGGACACTGAATGGAAGCAAGTGGAGGGATTGGAAGAGACGGGTAGTAGACACTGAATGGAGGCCAGTGGAGGGATTGGCAGAGAGGGGTGAAGGACACTTAATGGACGCAAGTGGAGGGATTGGCAGGGAGGGGTAGTAGACACTGAATGGAAGCCATTGGAGGGAATGGCAGAAAGGGGTGGAGGTCACTGAATGGAAGCAAGTGGAGGGATTGGCAGGGAGGGGTAGAAGACACTGAATGGAAGCCAGTGAAGGGATTGGCAGAGAGGGGTGGAGGACACTGAATGGAAGCAAGTGAAGGGATTGGAAGAGAGGGTAGTAGACACTGAATGGAAGCCATTGAAGGGATTGGCAGGGAGGGGGTGATGGACACTGAGCGGTTGGTAAGGTGGGGGAGTCTGGTGGCAGACTTCATGATGGACTGAAGAGGGGACAGCCTGTGTAAAGCTAATCCAATGAGTAGGGAGTTGCAGTAGACAAGGCGAGAGATAATTAGAGAGTGAACTATGAGCTTTGTTGTGTCATTGGTTAGGAAGGGGTGTAATTTCGAGATGTTAGGTTGGCAGCAAGATTTGGACAGGGATTGGATGTGGGCCTGAGAGGGCAGTTCAGAGTCCAGTGTTACCTCTAGCACCTTGGCATGTGGGGACGGGTTGATAGTTGTACCATTGATCTTGGCAGAGAAATAAGTTTATGTATATAATTTCATTGCTCACCTGAGATATCTGGAGATGGTTCCTCTTGTTTAACTCTTTCCATCATCTCAGCCTCCTCCGTAGACTGCTGATAATCCATCACACACACCTCCTCTTCTTCCTCTTTAACCTCAAATTTCATATACATCCATTCTTCATGCTAAACCAACAGAATGATAAATCATACCATCAAAATGTGACCGCAAAACAACTGAGACTACTTAGAAGAGTATAATCCCACACAGTATGGAGACACTTAGTGCCTCAGTTCCACCTACCTGATGATGGTGAGGGATGATGTGACCCTTCTGTGTGGAATCCCGGGAATATAGAGGCTGAGGACATCTCTCTGGTGGGTTCCCATTATTGGATCCATCTTCCTGATGATGGTGAGGGATGGTGTGATCTTCCTGTGTGGAATCCCGGGAATACAGAGGATGGGGACATCTCTCTGGTGGGTTCCCATGACTGGATCCATCTGTAGGAAACACACACACTGACTGAATCCATTGTTTCTATGTGTTTATCAGATGATGGGGGATCTAGGTGGACCCTCCGTACTGCTCTCTCCTTTACAATATAGTCTCCACTTACTGATTCTCCATCATGACGTCCTTGCGGAGAAATCTCCCTATAAATTAAACCTCTCAATAAGCACTGTCCCTGTAAAGAGGAAAGCAATTACCAACCTCTCCTGCTGTCTGACACTACATCGTTGAAGATAAATACCCAATTGAGCTTTCTTTGGAAATGAACATTTCCAGAAGCGTTGATCTCCTGGTCCTTGTTGTGCTCAGTAGTTAACCTCTGCTGACTTCCATGTGCCTACAGGAAACAATAGTGGTGTGGAAGTCTGTGGAAGTAGCAAGTGAGCACAGCGGGAAAACCAGGAGATTGAAACCCCCCGAAGTGCTAGTTTCTGAAGACACTTCATCCTGGGATTTCGGTTTAAAGGAGTGTCGTTTAGTGGGGCGGGTGGCAGATACAGTAAGTATATACTTCTTTCCCTTCTTACCCCAGGGGTGATTGATTCTCCATCATGACATCCTTCAGGAGATCGTACTACCTGGTGATTTGAAGATCTCCAGATCATTAATCATCAGTCCAGATACCTGAAGATTTTTGTATTTACTGCTCATTACTCACCTGCGGTGATATCTAGGGATTCCTTCAGTTTAATTGTCTTCTTCTTCTCATCCTCCATTGTGGAATGCTGACCATGCATCACATATACCTCTTCTTCTTCCTCTTTAACTTCCATATACATCTGTTCTTCATGCTAATTGAGCAGAATGATAGAAAACAACATCTTCATAATTTGAGTACCAATAGAATGAGACTACATAGAAGAGTGTAATCCCATACAGTATGGAGACACTTAGTGCCCCAGTCCCATCTACCTGATGATGGTGAGGAATGGTGTGACCTTCTTGTAGGGAATCCTGGGAACACTGAGGATGAGGACATCTCTCTGGTGGGTTCCCATTACCGGATCCATCTAAATGATGATGGTGAGGGATGGTGTGACCTTCCTGTGTGGAATCCCGGGAATACAGAGAACGGGGACATCTCTCTGGTGGGTTCCCATGACTGGATCCATCTACCTGATGATGGTGAGGGATGCTGTGATCTTCCTGTGTGGAATCCCGGGAATACAGAGGACGGGGACATCTCTCTGGTGGGTTCCCATGACTGGATCCATCTGTAGGAAACACACACACTGACTGAATCCATTGTTTCTATGTGTTTATCAGATGATGGGGGATCTAGGTGGACCCTCCATACTGCTCTCTCCTTTACAATAAAGTCTCCTCTTACCCGGTGATGTGAGGGGCGGCTGATTGTCCATCATGATGTCCTTGTAGAGGTCCTTGTGTCCTTCTAAATACTCCCACTCCTCCATGGAGAAATAGACAGTGACATCCTGACACCTTATAGGAACCTGACACACACAATGATACAGTCACCATCCAGACACATCCCTTGTCTGTTACTGGAGAATGTCCCAGAATTCCCGGCACTGTTGTAATAAGGAGGAGAGAAGAAGGTGACAAGTCAGTGACTGTAGGGGAACACTAGAATGTAAGCTCCTCTCGTACAGAGACTGATGTGACTGGCTCAGTGTTCTCTCAGTGTGCAGCGCTGCGGTATATGTCAGAGCCATAGAAAGCAATAATAAAAAACAAATGTTGTTATATGTGTGTATTATCATCTGTTGGAGATAAAAGATGTCACAGTGACTATGGAGGAAGAGGATGAACATGACGGGGAGTTACTGGGTGTAAACAGAAAATAACATCTTATTACCTCCTCTGCTGCCAGTTCCAGCAATGTCTCCTCCCTACTGCCTCCTGAGGTGCCTCTGACCCGGAACTTCCTGTCTTCATCCTACATCACTTCCTGTCTATGGTTTCATAGACACTTGCCATCTGTGCGTCCCACTCAGTATAAGTGAGATCACTGCCTTTAGGAGAATAGAGGACTTGTGGCCTTCATTTCAAAGTTGTATAGGAGCAGTCCTCCGAGATCAACCTTCACACTTGGCGGGGATCACCATAAACACCCCAACCATGGGAGCGTCTTTCATAAAGTCAGCACTTTGTGTAGTACTATTAAAACAAAAAAAAGCCAACCGCTGTTTCCACAGATGTACAGCCTCCATCAGTCCATTGGATAGAAGAACCGCCTGCTCTCTAACCTTACCTTTATACATATAATAAAACATGTACCCATGATTCAGAAGCTGGAAGGCAAGCGCAGTCAACCATCACACTGGGAATAACCGTCACACCCCAACTAGGGGCACCTCCATCATGAAGTCATCACTCTGTGTCGTACTGTTGGGATGAAAAAATAAAGTTGAGTGCTATTTCCACAGAGATACAGCCTCCAATTTTCCACTGCATGACAACCTCCCGACCTATCCATCCAGGTGATGGATTTTACATTTCCATATCTGCAAACACACAAATGATTTAGTAGCTGGAAACCACCTTGATACAATATCTCTGAAGGTTCTCATTTTTCAGAGTCATGGTATAGCTAGCAGTAGTTGGTCACATTCAACTGGACTTGTTCTGTAAGTCTCAAGATGTTTCACTGCTCATCCCTCTGTAGTCCTTAACAGTTCGGGACACTTACCTAGGTATTTGTATCCACATGGTTCACCTTAATCCCATCACCATGGATTATGTCAAGGCAAATCTTGATTGACCAAGGACAAGATGAGGAGTGTTGAATGTTTGTGGAACTGATGTGTTTTAGTTACATAATCCAATACTATTATTTGAATGTCTACCACAGATGCTTTATTTTCCCTCAATTTACACAGCTGTAGGTTTGAAACAATATTATATATGGGTGTCAGGGCCTGGACTTGAACCTGGGACCTCTACTGTGTCTGGTAGTAACTCTTCTCACTGAGCTGCCTGGGATACTGGACAACACTCTGCCTGATCTATTGGACAATCCTACCTTGTTTTCTGCTGAACCTTGAACTCCTTGCTCCTCCCATGAAGTTCCTGATTTAAGCCATGTCTCTGCACTTCCTGTTTGCCAGATTATTGTGTCTTCTCCAGCCAGTATCTTGCTTTTGTCTCTCCTGCTGCCATCCATACCTTTGCTACTGACCTTTGGCTTGTTCCTTGACTACAATTCTGCCTCATCCCAACCTGCAACCATTTTTACCGATCTTTGGCTTGTTCCTTGACTACGATTCTGCCTCATCCCAACCGGCTACCACTTGTTACTGACCTTTGGCTTGTTCCTTCACTACGATTCTGCCTCATCCCAACCTTCTACCACCTGTTACCGACCTTTGGCTTGTGCCTTGACTACGATTCTGCCTCATCCCAACCGGCTACCACTTGTTACCGACCTTTGGCTTGTTCCTTCACTACAATTCTGCCTCATCCCAGCCGGCTACCACATGTTACTGACCTTTGGCTTGTTCCTTGACTACGATTCTTCCTCATCCCAACCTGCTAACACATGTTACTGACCTTTGGCTTGTTCCTTGACTACGATTCTGCCTCATCCCAACCTGCTACCACTTGTTACCGACCCTTGGCTTGTTTACTGACTACGCTTCTGCTAGATCCCTACCTGCCATATCAGTTACTGAATCCTGGCCTGCTCACTTCCTGGTGGGGCGATCCTGATAACTGCAATCTGGTACTAACACACAGCAAAATCCATCTCTACCATCAGGAGCTCGGGTGAATACCGGTTAGTTCTTAGACCCCGCACCTCAGGTGAGCCTGGGTCATCTCGAAAGGGTGATCTACTTTTTTACCAATCCTGTTGGTTGGTCTGCTATAGCTACTGGTCTCTGAACCTGACCTCTGAATGTGACAATGGGCAACACATGGTGTCGAAAGGTAGGCTGCCCAATATGATTGGACACGAGTCTACTCACGTTCATTGGCCTGACCATACAGGCTCCTCTTTTTTATTGGCGGTAGCAATCATTTTTTTTCTTACTGGGTCCTTCAGTTGTGTTTGCAGTCCTATGGTCCCAAATGTGTGGGTTGAAGGGGAAGAATTTTCCTGCTATCATACAAACACTTATACAAACTAAAGCAATCTTTTTCAACCTTTTCAACTCCGAAGAATATTTGAAATAATACTCGGGTATCGAAGAACAGGGTGGGTTGGGGGTTTGACATAGGTGCCCTAACAGACGACGTTTGGATCAACATTTTGGTCTTGTTGGTATCCACACGGAGACTGTCCCAGTTGTTTATACCACACAGAACCTACCGCACCCCATTATATTTTTCTGATGGCAAAGGAGAGATAACCCAGACTGCCCTAGTGACAAGGAGCTCCAGTAGACCGTATCCAGAAGCTTAACCCCTTGATGCCAACATAACACAAATACGTGGCCTAACAGAACTGGGCTTTTTTCCATGGGGTCACATATTTGCATACCTGTCTGTGCCGGGAGCGCGCCGCACTGTGAGCTCCCAGCACAAAGACCCAGCACGTAGGTGATCTCCAGGGTGAGGTATAATATCCTCTCAGTCATGTGACTTGGGTCCCAGTCCATCCTCAGTGAGGTATAGGTAAAGGACACACAGTGAGCGCTCTCAAAGAAACAGCAGCTGAACATCCAGGATAAACGCATATAAAAATCCTCAGTAAAACATATACATATAAAAAATGCAGCGCTGTAAAATGATCAAATCATGCAAATCAACACAATAGTAGTCCTGAAAAGGTGCTCATTAATTCCCAGTGCCAATGGAAAGAATGCAAACTAACCAGAAGCGCATTTAAAATACGCATGTGTGTAAGAAATCCTGGAGATTCCCCTCTCTCCCTCTGGTCAGAAAATGGATATGTGCTGAAATGGATGACGATAACGCCCTCTTGTGGGAAAACAAAATCCTGCAGGTCAGGAAGCTCCCAGGATAGGATATTCCTCTTCAATGGAACCAGGGCTGGGATTGAAATCACTCTGTGGCTGTGAAATTGGGAGAAAGACCCCTCACAGAGAACACAGAGAGATACTCATAGTGTAGTATATTACTTCAATTTATTTAAAAAAACCAAGTAAAACATATAATCAGGTGGCAAGTGAAAGTGACCCACTGACCCTCTTAAAATTATAGGTGGCCGCCGGGCCTCCACATGGCACCGGCGGCGTAGTGTCAACGACGTCCACAGGCTCCTACTGACGCGTTTCGTGCACACGCACTTCTTCTGAGGTAGAGCAAGAACCATCATGACAGCAGCGCCGTTTAATTTATATAGTATCTGGCACATGTGCATTACGGCGGCCATTTTGTCGTAGCCCGCGTGTCTGCCATTGTGAAGTCCACATGTGCGGCACCATTTTACCAGGGGCAAATTGCAATCAACATTATAATGACAGGCAATGGCAAATCTCCTGCAGTATATTGAAATGCTCACCCGAAATCGGGTATATCAAGCTACAGCATATAGTGCTGTAAACGTGATTAATCTACAAAATGTCTGGACATAATCCCATCCTCAGTGAGGGGTCCCGTTCTAATGATCGGGATCAGGGACTCCCAATTCCGGGTCACATGACGCTGTGATAGCCTCTGATTGGCTATCACAGTGATCAGTCATTGTACAGCCCAGCCCCCTTGTTTTTTGTTTTTTTTTCTCTCTCTATGAATGGAGGAGAGAGATACATTGTATCTCTCTAACTCCTGGCATAGAGAGAACAAAAAATAAATGTTTGCAAGAAAAAAATAAAATAAATAAATATTAAAAAAGAAAAGAAAAAATAAAGAAAAATACCTGGATCAAGGTTTGGTCTAGTTCAGTGCCAGGGTTAATGTTTGGGTCAAGGTCAGGGTCAAAGGTCAAAATGTCAGGGTCAAAAGTCAGGATTTAAAAAAAAAATTGGTATCAGTGTGTTTTAGGTAAACAAAAACACAAAATGCGCACTATTGTTTCTGGGCTGTACTCCGGGTACAAACAACAAATAACATACACCTATATGGAATTGCTGCGATCGTCAAGAGCTGGAAAATTTATTTTGGGTTGTTTTTTGGTGGTAGGTTATGGTAGTAACAAGAAACACACAGCTAAATTAAAAAAAAAGATGTTTTCTTTTACTATTTTGGGCCAGTTTTCCTTTGATAATAAAAAAATGATT